AATTTAGATGAAGACCCCCTCGTCGTATCGGTTTATGGTTTAACTTTCACAATTATAACTCAATTTGACAACATTAAAATGCATTATTATCTTATTACTGTGTGGTTTATCGTCGCACTGGATTCAGATGCACAGTTACTAATTGCATCATTTTGAGAAAAGGTTAAAATTTCCACTAAGGCAACAATTATAATCATAGTCGACGTGGAACAATGAGAGTTATGTAAGAGGTATCTGTTAGCGATTATACAGCAGAAGATTTACGTTTTATAAATTACTGCTCCATTCATTCGAAGAGAAGAATGCATTAAAGAACGTTTATCTTATAAGATTTTGTCATATAATCAGAGTTCTAGACATACTCTCACTCATCCGGTAAACGTTTGATGTCAAAATCAACATTTCAGACATACATTGTAAAATCATTATATTACAATAACAGTTGTCAAGCGAGCGCAATGACTATTTCGACACGTTTCGCCTTGTGAAAAGCTTGTTATTTCAACAAGTTTGACTCTTACCCAAGCTTGCTGCTATAAACACACATATAAGACTTAGTTTTTTAAACGTCAACGTTCTTAAAATCATTATAATGCCAAAAATAAAAATTTAGATTGTTTAATGTTGCCTACCTACCAACCTGAAAAGCAGCCTACCCGAAAAAAAAATTGACACAAATCGATTCAAATTTTTTTTAAAGATTATTTTCTGCTCTAACATTGTTTTCTCTTCTAAAACATGTAACTTTTGTTGTTGGCCCCCCCAAAAAAAATAATAAAATCCATAACTTCCTACCCAACCCTACAAAGCATGGGTAAGCATCATCAAACAAATATTTTTTTTTTAATTTGGCCTAATTATAAATTTATTTAGCTCATTAAAAGTAATTGTAAAGATCCAATTAAGTAAATATTTGATGCCAGTATATATCAGTATTGCAAAAATAGTCTGAAAACAAAAGTTGTTTGTGTTAGTTATTATACAACGCGTTTAAAAATTCCATTGAAAGGTTATTTTTGAAATAAAGACCAGCACGTGTTTCCACGTTTCGCAATGTTTTACGGGTAATACTGAATGAGTTTCTATTATCCGTACTTATTTGACAAGATGATGCTTACACGTAGAACATTACATTGCCGTTCCCATATACCTTTACTTTGAAGAAGATATGTGAAGCGCTTTCCAACTAATTTTTAAAATGTGTTCTCAATTTGGACTGTTTCATTATTGGGGAAGGCCAAACACTTACACAAACATTTAAGCCCGCCACATTATGTGCCTGTTCCAAATTAGATCAAACCAGAAGCCTGTACTCCAGTGGTTGTCGTTAATAACGATATACATTAGATTCAGAATTATTGAATCGGACTATACAATTTAATTACAAACATCTTATATACCTTATTTGGAAGTTAACATCGGCTCGCCAAAATTAATGCAGGGCAACGGTTGTAAGTAAATATGAAATTTCCGATTGTATAGATATTTATATGTCCATAATGCAATAGAGTGTTTTGGTAGACAAAGGACATCAGTTGTTTTAACTTTCGTTCAATTAACATTTACCTGGTTTTAAAATATCTGCCTTGAAGAAAATAAGGTCTTTTTAAACCTAGATTATGATCGTAACATTATTTTCATAGGAATTTCTTTTTCTAGGCGTACTTTTGAAATACACTGTTTTGTGTTCCGTGTTCACCGTCTTAGTCTAATCTTTGTCATATTTTTTAAGATTGAACGTTTCGTTTGTTTCGTTACTGTATGCCTTTGTTTAACTTATACAAGTTCCGTAAAACATCTATGTACGAGGGTGTGGATGGGGATTAGAAAATAATGGGCAAAAATATAAAGAATAGGAAAAAAATGCACCAAAAGAATAAAGAATAGAGAAAAATGGACCAAAAGAATAAAGAAATAGAGAAAAATGGTATATAAAAATTAAACAATACAGAAATGAAGACACCCCCCCCCCCCTCCAACCCAACCCCCCAACCCAGACCCTTATGTAACGTTTGAAAATCAAAATATTTTGTATCCTGACCATTATTTATTTTCTTTAATATACTTGTTATTGTCCAAAAAGGTATGTAACTTTCAAAAAGCAAGACCGTTTGTATCTATATCGTTTTCTCATGCTGTGCGTAAATTACACCTCAAGGTCATTCTGATAACAGTATTATAGTAATTACCCCCCTTGTTAAACTGTGAACATCAAGGTTATCTAAACGTTTATCATATCATTTAACACTGGGATTTCCCGTATTTTCTATTCAAACTAATCTCAGATAAGACAGGTCATTTTAGACTCTTTGAAAATCGTTAAGAATCGGTTTTATTAGGAAAAGCACGTTTTAATTATCATTTCGTAGATTGTTCGGATTTTTTTTACAGTCTTTATGACACTTTAATAGGAAAGGGTTTAAACCACTGCTCTAACGGAGTAGAGTATACTTGTTTACCTCCGTCCGTCCGTCCGTATCACATTTCGTTTAGATTCAGTATTTAGAGCTTCTCGATCTTTGGAACCGAACCTGATCATCTATTGGTTCATCTATACCGTTAGACGCTTGTCTACTTCCTGCTTACCGCATAAACCACATGTCTTCTCACATCAATGCACGTAAATAAGAAATTTCCTGCACATTATTCTTAGCAACTGTAAATTTAAATCTGGTACCATGCTTTTCATTATTTTGCTTTATCACATGACACATTTTCGAATCCTTCATCGAACGTCCTGTTTGTCTCAAACATGTATGTTCTTCTTATCGGTACACTCTATACCTTTTAGGTCGATCAAATCACTATGGCTTCAATGTGAAGTGTGGGGAAAGCTCTTTATATTGATACAGAAATGAGAGATTTTCGTGGCATTTCTTCGCCATTACAAGTCAGAACGTCTTCATACTTTTGTACCATTCTTCTTCAACTAGTATGTAAGCTATGATACCTTGTGACACATTTTCTAATCCATCACTAATCTACTTCCGGATACATGTACTTTGCTCAAATTGTGCCTAATAGAAATTGTTGTTGCATTGTTTCTCAAGAACTACTACAGATGACAGTTTCTAGATATATGATAGAAAGTAAAAAGTAAAATAACAAAAATACCGAACTCCAAGGAAAATTCAAAATCAAAAGCTCAAACACATCAAACGAATAGAAAACAAATGTCAAATTCCTGACTTGGAAAAGGCATTTCCTTATGTAGAAAATGGTGGATTAAACCTGATTTTATAGCTAGCTGCACCTCTCACTTATTAAGTTATTGGTGAGCTTAACGGTGTCATTATCTACTTTCTCTAGTCTGTGTTCACATTGTTTGGTATTTTTTTCCTTTCCCTGAAAAGAGAGCGGGGGATTTATTAATAATCAGTGAATTTACATTCGTTCCTCTGGTTGATGAAGTTAGTCTCACGTTTGATTTTGTCAGTTTTTTATTGACTTCCACCTTTTAAGCACACCTGGCCCAAAGATGAAGAGTTCAACATGGTTATATATTTGACTAAATACCAAAAACATGATAAAAAACAAAGAAAAATAAGCAATTTGAATTTTTCATATTTTACATTGACTTTGTAAGTTTCATAAGTTCTATTTATAAAATTGATATTGCATCATTTTTCGGACTTTGTCAAATGGGGTCATGTAACATATGACATTGAACATCTTAATGAGTTCTATTCAAAAATGAAGAATTATGTCCCCCGAAAATGGAAGGTCTTAAAGAGTGCATTACGAAAACATCAGACTTTTACGGGCAAGATCTTTCAATTGTTTTACAAAACAATTGAGATAATAGTTTTTCTACGCAATTTGACAAGTATGAAGATAAATCTGTTAGTATATCATACAATAATTGTGCGTATTTTCCCCCAATTTGTCATATGCACAAATTCACGTAGACCATACCCCCTTTCGCAGCCAAATTCAAAAATTTCTCAACTATCTGCAAGCTGCACGTGCTGCATGAGAATTAATTTACACGTATGTTTTAGTTATTTTTATTATATTTACGGAATCTGAAGTTGCTATAAACAAACAGACAAAGCTATCAACATATTGTTAATCTAAAATTTAGATTAAATCTGCATGCAACACTTAATTAAACATGCTGTACTCATAGGGGATTTGATGGTATGTTGATTTACCTTGAATTTTCTGATGTTTTTGCAATATTTCGAAAAACACTGTATCAACATTTAGACAAGAATTTAAAATTGCTTAACATTTTTGTGTTTACGCCACATCAATAAATAATGCAAATGTTACAAATGTGCAAGAAAAATGCAGTTGGGTTTTTACTATAAATGCATGAAAGCAACTAATTAATTAAACAATTTGAATTTGCTGGCCAGAGGTTTCTTGGTAAACATTCATCAAGGACGATAAAATCCTAACCAATATCAAAAGACAAAATGATGTACTTGTAACCAATATATTAAAGGGGCATAATATTTACAACCAACACTGTCATACTGCATTATCAAGATGTTCCATTGTGTAAACAGTTTGACTTTTGCAAATACATTAGCTTGTTGTCTTGAAAGAAATGTTTCTTTACTCTATATACCTTTAAATTACTAGTATCGAAGAATCCGATCTAATGCGATCGACGAAATTTTGCTTCGGAATCTAATCCATTCATGTTGATCCTCATGCGAGCGAGACTTTCTTTCATTTTTAATTAATCTTTATTATTCGAGCTAGTTTTTGACTTGCTTGTAATGAATCCTGATCTCTACACGGTCGAAGTTTGCTTCGACTTACCTACCATTAATTCCTCGTATAAAACCTACCATTAATTCCTCACCTTTATAAGAGTATTCTCAACCTTTTTTTTAATCCTGATCTCTATACGAGCTAGGATAACTTCTACCTTTTACCAATCCTGATTTTTATAGGAGCGAGGTTTTGTTCACCGTTTTATATCCTGGTCATTTTTCCACCGACTTTTGTTGTAATTCTAATGAATCTTGATCTTCATCTAATTTCAGGAAAGTCTATCACGAGGAGTGTCTTTAGAACAATTTAGAACTTTATCAAGGAATGCAAAAAGTTTTCGTGATATTTATAGAATGTTCATTCAAAAGAAAAACGTAACGGATGATCAAATTGATAAAATATTAACAGCAAGGACATTGAAAGGAGCAATTCGGAAGAAAGAGATTAATTACGACTATGATTATGATGATCCGGCCAATCCAATAGATGCTGATGTTCAAAGAGGTAGGTTAAATTACTGTACACTACATTTAAAATGGGAGAAATATGTGACCGGTCCGTTTACGTCTTTTGATAAAAAAAAACCCACACACACACACAAGTTTTACAGCTCAGTGGCGAGATGCAAGTCTCGCTCAGGTAATGCGGAAGATAAATATAAATATTTGGCGACATCTTTTAATTTTTCTATGCAGGATAAGGAATGGATTGGAGAAAATCTAAGGGTTTACTCATTTTGACCCAATATTATAAGTGACTTATGAATATTCGATCATATAAAAAGTCCAACAGTTTAATGTAGAGTGTTTTAAAAACATGTTTTCTTTTAGTCTTTAAAAAATCCCTTTTGGTTTTGGTTTGTTTTGTTTATGGGTATTGAAATGGGGAGGTGCATGTATCTTCTTATCTGTATTATTATGTTTTGAATCATGGTCACGTGCAAATTATTTTATGTGATAAATGGACTAAACAATCGATATATTGTTAGATAGTATGACTATCATACTACTGATTAAACATCCTTTAACCTTTGAAGATTACTTTCAGTTGCTGATGAGGCTTTTTTACATTACTTGGCAGTAAAAGAACATCCTTTAGGAAGTTGTAATGATCCAACACCGGAACTACATCATATACCACCGGAAGGAAATAAATTATATTTCCCAGAATACACCATTCTTCATGTATGTCGGAATGTAAGCGGATGTTGCTGGAATCCAAGTCAAGAATGTGGAGAAAAAGATATAGAAATAATAACAAAATCATTTATTGTAAGTTTTAATTTAACATAAAAATCGATTTTGATGCCGAATTACCAATAAAAACTTATAAGAACTCTAAGACTTATTTGTATTAAGATATAATTGTGTACCCCATTCCACATTTTTGTTCTGATAACTATTACATCAAACAACGAAATTTCTACTTCAAAATTTTTGAAGGTGTGTATACCCGAGTATCCTGAAAAGATCTCTCAAACATAAAGTAGATAGGTGCGTTGTCACAATCTTAAAAAGATACATACAACAATAAACAAAATATGCACATTTTCTGTATACAATGTGCACAGAGACCAAATGTTACGAACATTTTGTAATAAACTTAATGATGGATACCACTGTTTTCTAGATTGTAATGCTAAGTTTTATTTTACATCCCAGGTAGCAGAAATCCAGCATTCTTATAAAGGTGATGAAGTTTATATACCAGATTCTAACAAAGTTGAAGTAAAATTTTTCAAAAATGTTACTCGGTGTGGATGTAAAGATTTGAAACCATTACCGAAGTAAGTCTATGTTTTTAACTAAATGATTTGCATTTTCTTGTTACAACCCATTTAGCGGGAAATCATTTGAATTTTGGATCATCAGGTCCTCCATTTTGTTATAAAGAAATATTTTACTACCTTTGGGATCATTATATTAAAAGCATACCTAAAAATATTAGAACCGTTTACTGCGAAGAAACAATCTAAGATTGATTTGATAAAAATAAAAATAAAAAAGTTAAAATGTAAATATGACAGAAATAACCTTTCAAAGATATAAGGTACATATTTTACCTTGCCGAGACAGCAACAGAGCAAAACAAACACCCAAAACATGCCAGCATGTTTCTCCTGAACGAAAAATAATTGAGGTTAAAACATTTTTTTGTGTAAGTGTTATATTTTTGTCCTCATGGAAATTTGTTAGAACGACTAAACGAAAAACCAATGGTACGAAAGAAGTAGAAATAATCTTAGGAGAGACACTAAAAATGATATAATAGACACCAACAGTATAACAACAGTTACTCCAAACAGGCCATAAACTAGACATTGTCTTAACCATTAATCTCGTTAAATGATTATAATAATGTTTCGAGGAAAATTAAGACAAAACCATGTCACTCATATAGATGAAATTAGAACGTTCAACAAAAATGTTTAAATATGATTCTATTGTTTGACTCTATATCCACAGAATATATCAGTGTAACTCTGTGTAAAGGTTGTTAACTGGTCGTGGGTGTTTTTTGGACATAATCATTATCAATTTTTTTTAGATGTGATAAACATTGTCCATTTCCATTCACCAAGAAACGACCCGGCGTAGAATGTGTTTGTGACTGTAATGATGATACACTACAATGTTTAAAAATCAAGTTTGGAATAGATCCATTGAGTAGTGGAGATTTTGAGTAAGTAAAGTTATTTCCTAGTTCCTTTGGAAAAAAACTTATCGGTGGTCGCGTGCTAGCCTGAGATCCTGGCCCGAAATTCTTTTAGCCGGGATCCCAGGCTAGTTGCGTGCTTGTCCGGAGTTATGGATCGCAGTTTCGATACCAATCCGGGTCATTCCAAAGACTTTTAAATTTTAAAAAGTGATATATCTTGATATGTTTAGAGTTAGCCAAATGTGTTCAGGGAACATTTTTTTAAATGAAATAGCTAGGTTTTGCGAAGTGTATCAATTGGAATAAAGAGCGGGACACTGCCTCTGAATGAAAAGGGTGATTTGGATACTAGTGGCAGAAACTTCATCTTGCAATAGGCTTCCTACGAACCCTCAGAGACTTATTTTATGTTTAAAAGTGCAAGGAGGGTAGCAGTGTCTATACACCGGCAATCACATTATTTTACATCCCCATTCTGACCGAGCATGGCTGAGTTTTTGTACATCCTACATAATAAAAAGAAAGCAACTCTTTAGCCATAATTTTATCTCTGGAGATGACCATATTTCTGTATTCCCATCAGTATTTGGCTTTTAAAGTTAAGGTGACTTACACAATGGTCTATTATGGTACATCTTATTCAGATGCTGTAACCTTACTACCGGTTTGTCTTCATGGCAAAAACCTTCCAAGGGCACAGGAAGGTGAACTTTTCTGTACATCATCACTAAGCTGTACACAACAAGGGGATCCCAATTGCTTGCTAACTTTTAATGAAAATTCAAAACACATATCTCTATTCCTATTTAGAGATTTATAATAACTGACTTTTTTTTCTTCAGATGTGTTAAAAGTGGTCGCTGTATGAAGCCTTTATGTAATTCCGGTGCATTTGACATGAGAAAAGGATATTGCGCAGGGACCACGAATCCAATGTTACATGTACATTTATCTTACAGACGATCAAAGCGTCGAGCTATAACTTCTTCGCATCGGAAGGAGTATACAAAATTTAGATTTATTCAAGAAAGACACAGGAAGAGATAGGATATTGCATTTTTCATCTGACAGCCTTATTGTTTACTACCTCAACATTATGTGCCATACATTTCATCTCGTGTCTTATTAAATTATATGAAGTAAACACTTTCAAATGATGTGTTGGATGATCAACATCTCAACTTGACAATCACAGAACACTTGAATCAGCTGCGGAATGAGGACAACATAATCAACATAATGGTTTGATATGTGTACACTACTTAACGTTTAGATATACTATTGAGTGTTTCTTGTCAACTCTTTGTCCAGCTTAGACCGGAGGAATTTGTTTTGTCAAAAAATATTTAACAAATGTTCATCGTCGAAGTCCAATGTTTGAAGTAGAGGCGAAAATTTACAACAACTGAATCTATTCTGTATTCGAATAATGATAGCTCAATGGTAATTTTAAATGCTGTGTTAAACTGAAGCTATTCTGTATTCGAATAATGATAGTTCAATGGTAATTTTAAACGCTGTGTTACCGCATGCAGTTGTTCAGTTTGGTCGGTTTAACTTTCAGTTACTGAAAGTTTTATCTTAAGTGTTAAAAATCCTATTAAAATAACAAGTAGTGATTGATTAACAGCTGAAAGTGAGATGCAAATTTATTTTTGAAAGTTTTTGTATAAAATAGCCTAATCTCAATGATTAAATGACAAACTGTTAAAAGAGTTATTTTAATTCTATTATAACGGAATGAATCTCTAACAGACATAAGTGATATTAAGATATATTTCTATGCCTTGATTGATATATGTGATATGATTATAAACGTACTCAGTAAACATATTTTTAGAAGTCCTGTTCGACTTCTGTGATTCCTCAGAATTAAAGAATTAAAAAAAAGTGATTGATATCAGAATTAAATTTTTGTTATGTACATTTACAATCTATTTTCATTATCAACATTGAATTTCTACAAGTATTTTGATATGTATGCTCATTTATATTATGATATCTCTCGGAAAAGTATAAGAGAACGTGAAAACGTCAAGACATTTGTTAAATTTTCCGTCTGCCCGCCTGACCAATAAACTCAAGTCAGCTTTAACAGATCTATTATTTATTTGACCAATTATTACCAATTATTAGTATGTGTTGTCTGAAGATTACATTTGTCGATTTGTCGACTTCAGAGTTATAGAACTTTTTACAGTGAGTTTGTTGCATTTTCTGTGCGCTATCCCGTTCATAGCATGACAGATTGTCAAATATAAAAAAACAATTGAAGACCTCACATTTTTGGAATATAGAGGAGACACTATGCGGTTACTCCTTTTTAAGGCGGTATCAAACACCTGGACTAAAATTAATTTGGCTCATTTAATTTTCATAAATTTTTGACAAAATATTTACTTTTACCCTTTGACAAAAATATAAAAATTTCAAAAAACCACACACTTTATCGGAAAAATTTCATTGGATATATAGCAGTTTGAAAAACACTAGTTTTGATCATTGAGAAGCTTAATATTTCCTTACCAATAGAACGTGATTGAAACGTTCATCTGATTTTTACAGAGTTATCTCCCTGTTGTGTTATGTACCACCTTAAGTTCCTCTGGCTCAAATTTTCTCATCATTTGGCCGTCCGTCGTCCACTATAACTAACTTTTATAAAATCTTTTCCACGAAACTACTTATCTAACTGGGACCAAACTTTACCACAGTCCTCTTTTGGGGTATCTAGACAGTAAAAAACATATATCCGATGATCTTACCTGCTAACCAACATGGCCGCTTAGTCAAAGTCAAAATCGTCTGTTATCTTTTATACCGTTGTAGATAATGAAAATTTTATTTGCATTAATTATGGTAGATTGAGAGAAACTGTAAATAGCAAAATTGATTGATTGATTGTTGGTTGCTTAACGTAGCAAAATTGATCATCAGGACAAGTTCAGCAGATAAGTCATCGTGCCCTAAATCGTCAGTTGACTCCTTATAGGAGTTATTGTCCTTGAATGACATTGTTAAGGGATTTGTACGGAAACCGTAAATAGGACAACTTTAGTGGATATTTGTCTCATTAGCAATCATACCACATCTCCTTATTTCTATAAAGATCTACTGATAATTCAACATGACCACAATAATCAGTCGACTCCTGATATATTTTAGTTACGTTCTTGAATGACCTTTTTTAACCCATTATTGTATTTTTTCTAACAGAAACTATAGTCGATAGAGAGTAAGTATGATTGCAAAAATGATCAACAGGAGAATCTCAACAAATAAGTGGTCCAAAATCGTCACTCGACTCATTAAAGGAGTTATTGCCCTTCAACGATGGTTATTACTTTAAGGTGCGTTTTAATCTTTTCCGAAACAATGATAGAAGAAAGAGAGAAAATATTTATAGAAAAAAAGATAAGCAGGACGAGATCTATAAATAATCAACATTCGTCATCGTTATCATATATTATTTCATCAAGCACTTTGCGTAAAAAAAACGTTTTAGGTCAAGAATGTCATTTTGACATATCGTTGATGTCACAGCGCCATTACAAGTCACCTTTCTGTACTCAAATGACGAAAATGCGCCCTCCTTCATTTAATAAAAATAGAAGTATAAGAGGAATGAAGAATTCTTCCTTTTAATTTGAAACTTCAGGAGCTAAATATACCTCATCATTTCTGTTTTAAAAGTTAACAGGATTGTTTTTTGAGAACAACACATATCAAACTACAGGGAGATAACTCTGTAAAAATCAGCTGAACGTTTTAATCAAAATCTATTGTTAAGGAAATATTAAGCTTCTCAATGATCAAAATTAGTGTTTGTCAAACTGCTATATATCCAATGATTTTTTTCCGATAAAGTGTGTGGTTCAAGTTTTTTGAAATTTTTATATTTTAGTCAAAGGGTCAAAGTTAATATTTTGTCAAAATTTTATGAAAATTAAACGAGCCATATTAATTTTAGTCAAGGTGTTTGGTACCACCTTAAGGTAATAATATAATAGCTTTTCCTTTTAAGTCTTTGTAGTTTGTGTGTTGTTATGCTGTTGTCGCAGTACGTCTTGTGCGTTTACCACGCATTTAATAATATTTTATAATTTATTTCAGGTATATAGTATCTTGACCTTTATATATATATAATATATACGAACGACAAACCTCGCTTCATCCTTACAGCTGACCGGTTTTTAATTCGTGTTTGAACATATTGTTTTTCTTGTGGATGAAAGGCTAACAATTCTCAAAAAGGTTAACTGATAATAGTGATTATTTATATCAAAAAGCATGATATATCGTGAAATAAAAAAACAAATTGAATTAGATTTTTTTTAATTATGATTCAGTTCACCAAGGGTACCTTGTCTTCATTTTCATTGGTCGTTTTATAAAGGATCATACTAGAGGTCCGTTCTGTAGTAATCCGGGATCGGGATTTTCTCGCTGTGTCGAAGACCCATTTATGGCCTTTCGCTGTTTTTTGCTCTTTGGTCGGATTGCTGTCTTTTTGACACATTCCCCGTTTCCATTCTCAATTCTATTTTTATTGTAACTATATTGATTAATTACGTATACATTGTAACTTCAACAGTCAATTTGAACGGTAACAAAACTCCCAGATAAGTGCCAAGAGCATGGAGTTTTTGAATTGAGTGTTTAAGGATTTATGACATACAAGTTCATGAAACAAATGTGTGACTTGTTATAAGATGGTGTAAGAGCTATTATTATTGTTGTTTCTCGTACCTGTAAGTAGAAAACTATTATTGCATTGCACTACATGGGTAGTAAATAATCAATGAAAAAAGGCACAACATGTAAACGAACAAAATACAAAAGATGACTTTCAAATTGTTCCCGATTTTTGATGAGGTTCATGTTGCTCAGTCTTTAGTTTTCTATGTTGTGTTTTGTAGACTGGTTATTGTCTTTTGTTCTTTTTTCCTTTTATGTTATGGAATCGTCGGTTCGTTTTTCCATTTATGTCATGGCATTGTCAGTTCGTTTTTCCTTTTATGTCATGGCATCGTCAGTTCGTTTTCGACTTCTGAGTTTTACTACCGCTTTGGTATCTTGCACCTCTCTTTTATAAGTACAAACACAAAGGCCAAGTCAGTATTACAATCACTATCTTTTAAATGTGTCTTTTTTTTTACTGTTATTGACTGGTTAATTTTTGGAAGTTTAACTTTTCAACTCTAATAATTGTACAATTTGCTATTTCTTTATTTTTGCATACAAATATAACGATTTACATATTTATGACTTGGTTTACAAAATCTATTTTTCTCTGGATTACAATAAAAGAGAGAGAGGATATAAGAGAGCAAGTGAGCAATCAACATCCTTTTGTCTAATAAAAACAGACAACATCATGGTCAAAAAGACATTTCACAAAAAACTATGCACAGAAAACTTAAGATTGAGCAACAAAAACCTCACAAAATCCAGGGGTTCTAACCCCGAAAGGGAATGGTTGCATAGCATAAAATGTATGAATATTGTACTTATGTTTGTTCAAATTAAAAGTAAACAACAATCTACCAATCAAAAGACAGTTCATCAACAAGACCCGTATTTGTGTAAAGATTTGCCTTCGTCTTCAATCTTTCAAATATTCTCTTCAAATCTCTGACCTACCAAGTCGTGTTCAAATAACTTTTCAGGGATTTGTCCATACCCCAGCGTTATACCATTGTAAACAACCCACTTATGCATCACTATGAGTAGTGTATTATTTTGGGGCAAATTACCAATAATGAACGGAATAATTATAATAATAATTACCAAAAATTATAAGAAATAGTTATATCAAAGTATAATAGTTTTTGATTTAGTTGATGCATATTTGATTTAATATAAAAATAAATAAAAACTCATCAGCTATGTCCGCGTGAAAAGATGTCGCCGCCTGCGTTTTTTTTCAAAATTCAAAATATTTTTTTAATTCGATGAAATTTTTACAATATCGTAATGATTATAATATGATAATCACATGGATGCCCCGCCCCCCTTTCCAACAAAACATAAATAAACAAAACCAGTTCAATTTACGCAAAGCATCCTCGGATATAAAATTTACGCTTGATTCTATTGATATTACTCGAGTTTTGATGCGCGCGGCGAGATATTCTATACGAATCGGATGTTTACTCTCGCAAGTTGGACCAGAATTGTTAACATTAGTTAAGATTAAGTGCCTTGCTCGGTGCTCGTGAAATTGACCGCCAATGTCTTTTTCGTAAAAATCTTTTTATGACCAATACCACATGTCTGGTAAATAAAACAAAAGAATGCAACGTGCCAATCTCCTATTAATGCCACCACTTTTCTTTTTTTTTTAGGAGGTTTCAATTTCGATTCGCAGTTTGTGTGATCGCGTTATTCCTCCGAATGAACATTGTTTTCATAAAGGGAGTCTTGTGTTTCCCAATGAAGCACCAGGATATTGTATTTTTTGCATAATTGGTTCATTTTTAGATGAATAGTAATTACATGTCATATACTCTTAGAAATAGTCTTTTGGTGTTGAAGTTTTTAACAATTTTATATCAGTGTTTTAGGAATTTTATGAAAAAAAAATATTGTAAAGTTAAGATATGCAAATATTTTTTGGTGCTGTTAATTTGTATTGTAAACTCACGAATTAATAATTATTTATTATTATTTGTTATAATATTTTTATAAGGCCACACTCAAAGTTTTATTTTCTCGTGGGAGTTTTTTTCGATAAAAATTTCTAAACGACAGTGGATTTTTTGCAGATTAAAAAACTAGGTTTATTTTCAATCAATTTATTTCAAGTTTAAATCAGAATATTGGAAGTGATATAAAGTTTGATTTTAATATTTAATACAAATGTAAAATATGAACATGCTATAATTGTGAAAAAGGCAAATTATTCATTTTGAACGCTGTCGTTTGAAATCATGATCTTTTATCTCTTTTAAAGACATAATAACAAAAAAATAATTTTATATTATAACACAAAGCGTGAATATTCTGTCATAAAACATGATTTTGTGTGGCCTTACTTAAATCATTATTTAATGTTCAATTGTATAAGTACATCCATATACATGTAGTGGAGAAAAATGTTGTTATGACTGTGGATAATATTCACATTTTGTTGAACAAATAAACAATATAATATCTTTGATTTGTTTTAAAAAATGCTCAGTGAACTCTTCGTAGGAACATGGGTCCTGCAAAAAGGGTTAACCAGGATGAAGGACGGAAAATTTAGGTAGCTACGTGGTTGCGTATTTTTACATCCTTAACAGCGAAATAGATGTCATAATAAAGCATTGATTTATGTCTCCTCCCTCTTTTAAAGCCTATGAGATGTGTGTTTAAAAGAAATCAACACTTGCTTGAACGGAAAAAAACTGTGAATTAGGTGGCCATTGACAAAAGGGATTCGTTAAGCAAATGTTGCGTTCGCCTGGAGGTGACTACGAATTATCACAACAGCGAAATTAATGACATAATTAAGCATTGATTAATATCTCCTCACTTTTTTTAGGACACAAGAGATATGTGATTACATTTGTAAAAGGGAAAAATTACAACATGTTGCTTATTTGCTTGGACCGAAAAAAGTTAGCCCTGAACTATTATGAATAGTAGGTGAAAAGGAGAAAAACACAATACATACATACATCTACAAAGGAAGACAATGTCCTGTGCAATGATCAAAGGTGTTAAAAAAAGAACACTTCACAATACTCGAAAAAAAAGCACAAATCCCAGAAAAAAGGCTATGAACCACAAACACAATGGTCACAGTTGTCATGTGCACTGAATTATTATGAATAGTAAGAAGAAAAGGGAAAACACAATACATACGTACATCTACGAAGGACAGACAATATACTGTGCAAGGATCAAATATGAAAAAAATAAACAATAGAAAACTTCATAATACACTAAGAAGTTAGCACAAATCCCATAAAAAAGGGTATGAACTCAGTTGCTAAAGGTTGTGAAATTCGTCCTCCACTAGTGGCACTTCCTGTAATGTCCTATCCATTCGTCTTTTCAGAATCTAAATGACTATGGATAATGTCATTGTTAGTACACCAAAATGAAAATAACGTTACGTCATTGGTTGAATTACCATTGTTTAGTACGGTTTTAAACCAATCACAACGTTTTGGTGTACGCTTTTGAAAATATTACCCAGAATGCATTAGATTATGAACCGGCGAATTGGTGATTCATTGTTTATTGTTGAACGTTTAGTAGCAAGACGCCTATGCCTTATTCAACACGAGATCACATTTATTGAACATTAGTTTCTTCAATGTTCTGGGTTTTCCAGGTTTAAGGATAGAAAGTATAATTAACCACTAGAAAAAGGGGGTATGTTGTCCAGAAAGTTTTTCTTGCAACAGGTCACCAAAATTGTATGTACACCTCAAACCACTGTTGCATGGGTTATTTCACGTGCACTCTACCTACACTAGGCATATGATATAACATCCCAATTCTGACTGTACGTGGCAGCGTATTTATATTTTCCTTAATGCAAAATGAATGCCCAAATTAAGCAGGGGTTTTACTGTAAGAGGAAGGAAGTCAAGGTGGCAATATCTATATACTCCGTTCAATCCTTGGGATATTCAGACAATATGTAGTTAATATAAATCCATACAAAACAACACTTTCATGTCTTAGCTGTCCTTAATTGTTCAGTAAACTTTAAACTCCCTAAAAAATACGAAACAACTTGTTAAATGATTGTTTCTTGATTACCGTCCAGCGGAAATATTTCATTCCTATTCAGGGCATTAAAGAGAATAACAATATATTTAATTGAGGGGCGGAAGTAGCTTTTTTCGGGACGTTGAGATTGAGCTTTTATTTTCGCGGTAAATCTGGTTTTACCCTTATCGGGACTCGGCAATAATTAATGATTAAATTTTCGAGATCTGGAAAAGATTTTTTTTCGGGGGGGGGATTCGCGATGACACCCCCTCATACCGCACCTCTTAATAGAATCAACTGGGATGAAGGGCAGAATATTTTGACTGCCACTGGGAAAAGGATATGTTGGATACATGGCATATCCCCCTGGACGAGGATGTCATTGACATAATATGATCCCATTATGGTTCTGGCTTCGCAGCGTATTCATACATCACCTACATCCACTTTGCATTGCAACGACCAAAGTAAGACCCATCGAATGTTATCTAACATGCAAAGGGTGTGTATCATTTCTCCTCTCACAACGTGGCTGTGCACTTATATATCCTGCACAACCCAACAGGCGTTTTGCAGCGAGATTGGATATGTCAATGTTACCTCCTCAAAATATTATCTAACATAAAAAGGGTGTGGTACTCTTTCTTCCTTCACGACCTACGTGGCTGTGTTCTTATATATCTTGCACCTCAAACAGGCGTTTTACAACAAGATTGGATTTTTCAGTGTTACCCCCTCAAAATATTATTTAACATGAAAAGGCTTTGGTATTATTTCTCCCTTCACGACCTACTTATTTATATATCCTGCAACTTCAACAGGCGTTCTACTAAAAGGGGGTTTAGGGCAGATTGTTACCCCGAGAAAACATTGTCAACTGCTCTATCACCCTCTCAGATATGTGTTATTTAATCTATTATACTGAATGTTCTGTTATTACTGTCGATTAAATTTCAAATTCAAAGTAATAAACTATGACGTCTTGTAACAACCATCCGTATTTAATAAAGCGCACACTTGATCAAGCGTCTCCGTGAAGGGTAATAGAGTATTTGCCATAGGATAGAGTCGTATTTAATAAAGCGCACACTTGATCAAGCGTCTCCGTGAAGGGTAATGGAGTATTTTCCATAGGATAGAGTCGTATTTGATAAAGCGCACACTTGATCAAGCGTCTCCATGAAGGGTAATAGAGTAAATTAACACCCTCGTATTAGCCAATCAATCAAAATATGGCATTTGAACGTGAAGTATAATATTTGTCAATGTTACCCCCTCAAAATATTATCTTACATGAAAAGAGTGTGGTATTATTTCTTCCTTCACGACCTACGTGGCTATGTATTTATATATCCTGCACACCAAACAGGCGTTTTACAACGAGATTGGATTTTTCAGTGTCACACCCTCAAAATGTTATTCAACATGCAATTCTCCCTTTTCAACGTAGCTGTGTATTTATAAATCCTGCAGGCATTTTCATGAAGGTTGGATATTTTATCCTGTAATCCTTTGGTTTTGTAAACGTATTGGTATTTCATGATACTGATGTCTCATGTATAGCAGTTCTACAAAAAACTAAAGAGTATGCTATGATGTATATGATACAACAATCTACTAAATACCGTAAAGACCAAAGAACAAGAATATAGTATGATGTGTATGATACAACAATCTACTAAATACCGTAAAGACCAAAGAACAAGAGTATAGTATGATGTGTATGATACAACAATCTACCAAATACCGTAAAGACCAAAGAACAAGAGTATAGTATGATGTGTATGATACAACAATCTACTAAATACCGTAAAGACCAAAGAACAAGAATATAGTATGATGTGTATGATACAACAATCTACTAAATACCGTAAAGACCAAAGAACAAGAATATAGTATGATGTGTGTGATACAAAAATCTACTAAATACCGTAAAGACCAAAGAACAAGAATATAGTATGATGTGTATGATACAACAATCTACTAAATACCGTAAAGACCAAAGAACAAGAATATAGTATGATGTGTGTGATACAAAAATCTACTAAATACCGTAAAGACCAAAGACCAAGAATATAGTATGATGTGTATGATACAACAATCTACTAAATACCGTAAAGACCAAAGAACAAGAATATAGTATAATGTGTATGATACAACAATCTACTAAATACCGTAAAGACCAAAGAACAAGAATATAGTATGTTGTGTATGATACAACAATCTACTAAATACCGTAAAGACCAAAGAACAAGAATATAGTATGATGTGTATGATACAACAATCTACCAAATACCGTAAAGACCAAAGAACAAGAATATAGTATGATGTGTATGATACAACAATCTACCAAATACCGTAAAGACCAAAGAACAAGAATATAGTATGATGTGTATGATACAACAATCTACTAAATATCGTAAAGACCAAAGAACAAGAGTATAGTATGATGTGTATGATACAACAATCTACTAAATACCGTAAAGACCAAAGAACAAGAGTATAGTATGATGTGTATGATACAACAATCTACTAAATACCGTAAAGACCAAAGAACAAGAATATAGTATGATGTGTATGATACAACAATCTACTAAATACCGTAAAGACCAAAGAACAAGAGTATAGTATGATGTGTATGATACAACAATCTACTAAATACCGTAAAGACCAAAGAACAAGAATATAGTATGATGTGTATGATACAACAATCTACTAAATACCGTAAAGACCAAAGAACAAGAATATAGTATGATGTGTATGATACAACAATCTACTAAATACCGTAAAGACCAAAGAACAAGAGTATAGTATGATGTGTATGATACAACAATCTGCTAAATACCGTAAAGACCAAAGAACAAGAATATAGTATGATGTGTATGATACAACAATCTACCAAATACCGTAAAGACCAAAGAACAAGAGTATAGTATGATGTGTATGATACAACAATCTACTAAATACCGTAAAGACCAAAGAACAAGAATATAGTATGATGTGTATGATACAACAATCTACCAAATACCGTAAAGACCAAAGAACAAGAATAGAGTATGATGTGTATGATACATCAATCTACCAAATACCGTAAAGACCAAAGAACAAGAGTATAGTATGATGTGTATGATACAACAATCTACTAAATACCGTAAAGACCAAAGAACAAGAATATAGTATGATGTGTATGATACAACAATCTACTAAATACCGTAAAGACCAAAGAACAAGAGTATAGTATGATGTGTATGATACAACAATCTACTAAATACCGTAAAGACCAAAGAACAAGAATATAGTATGATGTGTATGATACAACAATCTACTAAATACCGTAAAGACCAAAGAACAAGAGTATAGTATGATGTGTATGATACAACGATCTACTAAATACCGTAAAGACCAAAGAACAAGAATATAGTATGATGTGTATGATACAACAATCTAC